TCTTGCTCAGGGAGCTTGATCTTCCTTAATAAATGTGCTAGAAAGGAACAGAAGCTTCCTGTTTACCAGATGGTCTAGTCCAGTTGTTCAGGAAGGCCAACAGTTGATATTTTGCTAGTCAGGTGGGGGCAGTGGTGAAGTGGAAGAAGACTGCAGGAGATGTAGACAACAGAGACAGAAATGGTGGACTTATACAAGGAATTTCCCTCCATCTGCTAGATTCTGAAAGGATTAAAAATTGGCAAGAAGGCACTGGAGTGGAATTGTAACATATTTATGTGATTTGCGAGTTCCTAAAAAAAATCCTGGTGCTTAAGTATTAAACTCTAAGATCATTGTACAATTATTAGCTATGAGGGGCTGGAGCAATAGCACAGCGGGTAGGGCGCTTGCCTTGCACGCGGCCAACCCGGGCTCGATTCCCAGCATCCCATATGGTCCCCTGAGCACCGCCAGGAGTAATTCCTGAGTGCAGAGCCAGGAGTAACCCCTGTGCATCGCCAGGTGTGACCCAAAAAGCCTAAATAAATAAATAAAAACAATTATTAGCTATGAGAAGCTGGGCCTGACACCTAAACTTATCTGGATTGGTTTGTTTTTCTATAAATTAGGTTTATCAACACCTATCTAAACTGCCAGCTCGGGTCAACTCACCAGCACCGCATACAGTCCCCAGAGTACTACCAGGAGTGATCCCTCAACACAGAGACAGGAGTAAGTCCTTAGCACCACCAAATGCTCCTCCACCCAAAATAATATTTTTTCTTTTTGGTTCATACCCGGCATGCTCAGGGGTTACTCTGTACTCAGGAATTACTCCTGGAGGTGCTTGGGGGACCATATGGGATGCTGGTAATCAAACCCAGGTCGGCTGCATGCAAGGCAAATGCCTTACCCGCTGCGCTATCACTCCAGCCCCCCAAAATAGCACTGTAGCACTGTCCTCCCATTGTTTACTGATTTCGCTCCAGCGGGCTCAGTAACATTGTGAGACTTGTTGTTACTGTGTTTGGCATATCGAACACCTCACGGGGAGCTTGCCAGGTTCTGCCGTGGGGGTGAGATATTTTCAGTAGCTTGCCAGGCTCTCGGAGAGGGGCGGAGGAATTGAACTCGGGTCAGCCCTTTCAGCTGCGTGAAAGGCAAATGCCCTATCCGCTGTGCTATCACTCCAGCCCCCCCAAAATAACATTTTTAGATGAGATAGTAGTCTTAAAATAAAAAAGACCTGTAAAAATATCAGCTCTTTTATTCTGAGTTCATCTCATTTGAAAGATGTTTTTAATATTATATTTCACAATATTTTACTTAATATTAAATGTCTCTCCATTGGAAATGGTTTTCTAATTTATAAAATAAGTTAAAATAATATTTAGGCATAAGAAAAAAATTTTCAGATTTTTTAATGTTGTTCTAGAAATGTTTTATAAACAAAGAATCTTCTGACACATTTTCTTTATAATTAAGTAGAATTTCAATGACACTGATAATCAAGAACACTGTAAAATTGATTACATGTGCCCCTCATCCTTCCAAATACACATACATATACAGAGACCACAAAGGAGATACTGAATAAATTTGGTGAACAAGAATTTGATCAATGGGGAGGAATGATGGTCAGGTAAAGGAAGAGGTAAATGGGTATTGGGCTTCTTTTATCTTTCCTCACATATGACTTTTTACCAAATCCAGATAAAAACCAAAGAGTCTGATTTAAACAATACAAGCTAATTTCTTTTGGTACTAAAAACATGTGGCAAAACTCCCAACCACATTGCAGGGTATCTCAAATACCTGCTTTACAAGTGACAAAATTTTTAAGTTATTTCATTTATTTACCCAACATGGTCAGTTTAAGATAGGGGAAAAAAACCACTCTCAAGTCAGGAAAGGCTTAGCCCTGTTTCAGATAAGATTCTGTCATCAGGAAATCACCACAGAGGGCCTGGTAAGAGGCTGTTAACAATAAGAATCAGAAAACAAATGAGATTCTAGCATCCTTGACTCTCAATTCAGTCCTTCATCCACAACTGATCTAAATAGTATCATCAAACAAATGAGTGAAGCTGTATTGTCCCTAATAATGCTGACAAAGTCTAAGCTTTTTAAAAAAGATTGAGTGGAAAGAATATTGACTTTAGTTGGAGTTAAAACCAATTCTACACAGCCTAATTCTACCACTTTACTACTGCTAATATGACCTGAATAAGTAAAGTAAAAAGGCCCTCCCGTTGATCATCGATTTGCTCGAGCGGGCCCAGTAACGTCTCCATTGGAGACTTTGTTGTTACTGTGTCTGGCATATCGAATACTCTCGGGAGCTTGCCGGGCTCTCCGAGAGGGGCAGAGGAATCGAACTCGGGTCGGCCATGTTGGCTGCGTGCAAGGCAGACGCCCTACCCGCTGTGCTATCGCTCCAGCCCAAAGCGATGGAAACACGACTTAACTTTTTTTTTTTTGCTTTTTGGGTCACACCCGGCGATGCACAGGGGTTACTCCTGGCTCTGCACTCAGGAATTACTCCTGGTGGTGCTCGGGGGACCATATGGGATGCTGGGAATCGAACCCGGTCGGCCGCGTGCAAGGCAAATACCCTACCCGCTGTGATGACCTGAATAAGCCTTACTCAATTGAACTTTTTTTTTCATCTTCCTCCTCAGTAAAACTAGATCAAGATGTTACAATATTTTAGGGATCAAAGTAACAAAGAATCAAAGTATCAGGCCACACACTCCACACTCGGATACTCAGAGGCCAATGTGCTTTCTTTCCTGACTTGCCATTTTTCAAACCCAAGGATAATATATTAAAATATTATATATACATGTATATATATAATTGCTGTAATTCTTTTTTTTTTCTTTTTTTATTAGTGAAACACCATGAGGTACAGTTATAGGCTTACAAATTTTGTGCTTGGGTTTCAGTTATACAATGATCAAGTGCCCATCCCTCCACCAGTGCCCGTCATCCATCACCACGGGTCCCAGCATCCCCCCCCCCCACCCATCCCCCCCCATCCTGCCTCTGTGGCAGGGTATTCCCCCTTGTTCTCTCTCTCTTCTTTTGGGTACTGTGTTTTGCAAGAGAGGCTTTGAGTGGCAATCATGTTTGGTCTATAGACTACTTTTAGCATGCTTCTCCCACCCTGGGAGGGTCCTCACAACACCCTTGACAAATTAAAATGAAAAGAATTCTGGTTTGTAATTTAAAAAGCTATGGATGATTCTAATTGAAGACTTAGCTAAATGTCCTAATTGTTTAATAACTTCCAAATCAGTAATGATTTAGTTACTTGTCATTAAGACCATAAACTAATTCTTGTTCATTTTTATTGATGTGAGCAAAGACAGAATTTATTTCAGAGAGAAAAAAGAATCAAACGGGTGCTTTTCTAAAACGATAATCAGTGATGCCTCATTTCTTAATTAAAATTCAAGGAAACATTTCAAAAAAGAGGTCATATACTATTCCAAAACCAATCATGCAGTGTTCTTTTAAAGAAACATCCCTTTGGCTCAGAAAATAAGCTCTGAGGGCTAGAGAGATAGTACAGCAGGTAGGGTGCTTGTCTTGCACATGGCCAAGCTCGATTCAATCCTCAACATCCCATATGGTCCCACCCCCTCAGCACCACCAGGAGTGACCCCTGAGGGCAGAGACAGGGTTAACCCCTGAGTACTGCCAGGTGTGACCCCAAAACAAAACAGAACAAAACTTCCTAATAAAGCAAACTCTGAATACCATGTTAATTAATATTTTATGATCAGTAACGTCACTAGATATAAGGAAACTCTGCCAAGAGTCTACAAGGGTCTTTCTGATATTAAAAGAAAGTGAAAGTGATCCACCTTAAGGAACCTCTGACTATAATGCTTCAGAGTAATTTAGTAACCCCATCTCAGTGAGTCTGCATAACATACCCATCTCTAACAAGTCTGGAAGAACAGAAAATCATTAAGTCAACTCTTACTATCCCAGACAGTCCAAGTCAGCCTCTTTGAATAGGGACCTCGGCACTGCCATGGAAAGGTTGAAAGAGCCTCGCAGGACAAGCTGCAATTAAAAACCCTTCTCAACTCCTTTGAAGCAAAGGATCACTAAGCTTTTTACTAGCATTACATTAACATACTGCAAGAAGTCTCCAGCAAGGGCTCTTGGGAGTCTTTGTCCCAAAAACATGACACACGAGACAAAAATGATCTGTCCAAGGTCACAGGGCAGGTAATGACACGTCCGACTCCCAGGCACAGAGAGGAGTCCCTGCATTACGCGCCCCTGCACCGGACGTCCTAAGCCACATACAGGCAGCTTTGTAAAGCGTGCGGGGCTGCTGCGCTCAGAGGATGCTCGGGACCGGGCAGTCCCGGGATCGCGCCTCTGCCCATTTTCTCCCCGACCTTAATGAACACACAGACTCGGGGAGCGCCACCTCACAGGGCCTGGGAAATACGTTTTCTTTCCACCCGACCACCCTCTGGGCTGCCCCCTCCCGGGGCCCCACCGCTTCCCCGGACAAAGGAAGCGCCCCGCTCCGGCGGCAGTGCCAGACCCGCCGGGTGACTCCCAGCGGCACGAGGCGCAGGGGGGCCCCCAGAGCTGGGCCAGGGCGCTGTCCCTTTCCCGGGGGCCCCTCCCTTCTCCGCCGGCCCCATCCGCTCCAGCCTCCCCCCTCCGCTCCAGCCCCCCGCTTCTCCCGCAGTGCTGCGAGCACGGCCGGTGGACACACCCCTCGAAAGCTCGGCCCTGCCGGAGGGCGCGTCCCCGGGCGTCCAGCGCCCGAGCGCACCGCCCGGCCGGGAGACAGCCTCGCTCGCGCCTTGCTGACCTGATGGACAGCTCCCTCCCCCCCCCCACACACCCCCGGGCCGGGGGACCTTCCCCCTCCGCGTCCCGGCCGCCGCGCCGCCGCTCCCCCGGGGCACCGGCGAGCGAGAGCAGGCGGGGGGCGCCCCCGCCAGCCCCCCGCCCCCCGGCGGCCACGCCCCCGCGCTCACCCGCAGTCGGGCGCCGGGCACCAGCGGCAGTCGGGGTCCGAGGCCAGGTAGCGGCGCAGCATGAACTCCTCGTACTTGTGCATGAGCGGCGGGTCGGCCAGCAGCAGGCGGATGTCGTGCGGGTTGAGGCGCTCGCTGCACTCGGGGCAGCTGATGGGGACACGGCTCTCGCTGATCTCCAGGCGCAGGTAGTGGCGGAGGCAGTCGCGGCACGAGCGGTGCGGGCAGCTGAGCAGGCGCGGGGCCCGCTCGGGCGGCAGCCGCACCAGGCACAGCGGGCACTCCACCTCGTCCGAGCCCGCGCCGCCGCCCTCGGCCGCCGCCTCATCGTCCGGCCCCGCCGCCGCCGCCGCCGCCGCCGGCCCCGCCGTCGTCGCCGCCGCCGCCGCCGCCACCGCGGCCTCCGCCTCGGCCTCGACCCCCGCCTCGGCGGGCAGCGCGTCGGGCGGCGGCGCCGGGGCCGCGGCCGCGGCCGGGGCGGGGGGCGGCGGCGCGGCCGGGGGCGGCGGCTCGGCCTGATGCTTGGCCCGGGCGCGGCGGCCGCGAGCCGACGCCGAGAAGACGCTGTGGAAGGTGAGGCGCCGGCGCCGGCCGCCGCTGCGGCACTTGGGCTCGGGCGCGGCCGCGTGGATGGACGTGGAGCGCGGCGACTCGGAGTCCTTTTCGGAGCCCATGGCCCGCCGAGGCCGAGGGGCGAGGGGCGCCCAGCGCCGCCACAGCTCTCGCCTCAGCGCCCCCCCAGCCGGCGCCCCGGCCGCCGCCGCCGCCGCCGCCGCCTCAGCCGCCCTCCCGAGCTAGAAGCCGAGCGCCCGCGACAAAGTGATTATAAAGCCTCCGCCCGGCGCGCCGCTCCCACTGCGCAGGCGCCACGCCGATACCTCATAACCCGGCGGCCCCGCGGGGGGGCGGGGGCGGGGCCAGCGGGGGGGCGGGCCAGCGGCGCGAGGCCACGCCTCCTCCCGGGCCACTGGCTCCAGCGCAGCCATCTTGGGCAGACCCCCAGCCTGCTGCTGCTTGGCTGAGCCTGCGCCCTCAGTGCCATCACCTCCCGCCCCAGCCTTTCCCAGGGAGAGTTTTCGGCTTGTCTTTGTAAGAGAGTTGGCCGACTGCCACCGACAGCAAATGAGGCATCATTTGCTTCAAGGGGAAAAGCAGACCAGGGCTCATCAGAAGGGAATTCCCACTGCAGCGCCTTCCAGCACTTCTTCCTTGAGCAAACAGCGTTGGTTCAAGAATCTGGTCTTTCGGACCCGAGGCACAGTTTGCCTTGCACGCGGTCACCCGGCTTCAATTGCCGGCATCCTGTAGGATGGGTGGTCCCCCGAGCGCCGCCAGGAGTGATTGTGCAGGGCCAGGAGAAACCCCTGACCATCGCTTTGGGCGTGGCCTCAAAACTAAAAAATAAAAAGACCATCTCAAGGTGTTCCTTTCTTCCTAGGAAGGTTGTCTTGGAGATGCAGGAGATAGCTCAAAGGGCTCCAGTCCCTATTCCTCCCCATCACTACCCCCTTGTCCTGGAAGTTCATGTTTGCTTATGTCTCGTTGGCCACACATAACACATAGGGGGAAATGAAGTCTTCAATGGTTAGGCACCATGCGCCCAGCTGAAAACAGAAAGTCTTATAAAGAATGGCCAGAAAGAGAGGATGTCAGGTGAGGCACTTGCCTGCCTTTGCACACTGCAGACCTGCACCCCATATGATCCCAAGCCTTGCCAGTGGAAGACGGAAGAAATCAAACGACCTGTCAGGGCCTACCAGTGGAAACACTGTTGGCCTACAGTAAGTTAAACAGGTTAATGGATGTGACAAGAGGAGGAAAGAAAATAAAGCCACAAGAAAGGTTCTCAGGAATCAGTTCTGAGAAACTTTTCAGGTCAAATAGTGGAAGAGGAGCCAGCGAAGGAAACTGAGAAGCAGAAGCTGTGTGAGACGGGAGAAAAACCAAGCAGAAGTGGTGATGTCACAGATATCAAGATAGAATGTTTCTGGGTGAAGGTGGGGGGGAGTGGCCAATTGTGACAAATGCTGTTGAGAAATAAGAACAATGAGGTGATCAGTGTCCTGGGCAATACTTATGTTGCCCAGAAGACATTATGTTTCTCCTCAAGTCAGAAAGAGGTTGGATGCTGGCTGGCTAAAATGACAGTTAAGGGGCTGGAGAGATAGTACAGCAGGTAGGCGCTTAACTTGCCTGCTGCTGACCTGGGTTCCTGAGTCAACCACATATGGTTCCCTGAGTCCTGCCAGGAGTGATCACTGAGCACAAAGCCATGAGTAACCTCCGAACACTGCCACCTATGGCTCGCAAACAAAACCAAAATAAAGCAAAACTAGCTCTTTCACAAATGCCCTTGGACTTTGCAGTGATCTCATTTCTACCGCATTCTTCTCTCCCCTGAAGAAATTTGATCATCTTGGAATCGAGAAACTAAAGTGATTATCCCCACCCCCACCTAACTTTTTCCTTTGTGTCTCTCCTTGTAGACTCAGGGAGAAAAGGAGTCTTGTCTACTCACATATGCAATAAACATTTTTATTTTATTAATTTGTTTATTTTAAACACACTTTATTGATTTGCTCTTAGTTACGGTAAATATTTATAATACTTTGTTCTAGGCCCTTTGCCAGGTTCTTGAGTCTTGAAAATGGAAAATAGACTGATGATGGTTTTGGACAGAGAGCAGGTCACCGGGGCTCACAGGAGCTAAAGACATGTCAGAAGCCAGGTTGCGTCAGAGGCAGCCATAGCAAGCCTGGTGCGGGCTGGTCAGAGATAGCCACCCTGAGCAGCTGGTCTCACAGGATGGGGAAGAGTTGGCAAGTTATTGGAAGAAAAGGGTATTCCCAAGAGAGAGATGGAGGAAGGTGCAGGAGAACAAACACAGCCTAGTTGTGAGGAAGTGTGGGCAGCAAGGCGTGATAGGAATAGAGCATTTGGAAAGGATGCTCCAGAGGAGAGAATGGAAAGATTCTTGGTTAGGGCACTGTTGGTGTGAGTAGTTGTCCAACACAAATGAGGCTAGGGTGCAAGAATGACTGGAAGCTCAGGTAACCCTTGGAGAAAATTGCTACAGTCACTGGACCCAACCCCCAACAGTATCCAGGCATGGCAGCTTCCTTTTAGTTAATTGTGGTAACATATACTGAAGGTGGAGGAGAAGCTCAAACCCAGTCCCACTGGGTTCAAGCAGTGGGATGGTAAAATAATTTTCCAGGAAAGGGAGACAGTTGAGGTGAGAGCAAAGTAAGTTTATTAAAAGAGAGCACCCTGGAACTGGAGTGATGGTACAACTAGTACAGCACTTGCCTTGCATACAGCCAACTTGAGTTCAATCCCTGGCACCAAATACAATCCCCAAGAGCCCTGCTAGTTTTGATCCGTGAATGCAGAGCCAGAAGTAAGTGGCAAAAAAAAAAAAAAAAGGAAAAAGAAAAGAAAAAAAGAAATCATCTTCACCATTTTGAAGTACATAATTTGGTGACATTCACATTGCTGTGTAACCATTGCCACTATCTATCTCTAGATGTTTGTTATTTTGAGTCTTGGGCTCTTACCTGGTAGTGCTCTGTGGCTACTCCTGAAAAGTGCTTGAGTGCAGAGGATCAGAACAGGTCACTCACAGGCAAGTATTTTAATCCCTGTACTATCTTTATGGTCCCTCCAGAATTTTTTTTATCTTCCCAGATTGAATTTCCAAGCCACAAAATACCAAGCCCCACCACATTTACTCCCACTTCATTTTTTCAGACTATTTTTCTTTCCAATGCTACGTGTCTAATATAAACCACCAGCTCATATCTCCTAGATCCCTCACCAGAGAGATGATTAAATCTCTTTTGTTCCAAATTCCCAAAATCCTTAAGAAAGAATCTGATTGGCCAATTTGGTCACATGTTCATTCACTGACTTGGTCTTTAGGGAATAGACCATGGTCTGTTCTCTACTATTGTGGGGTCAGGGGGAGGAGCACTATTTTCTGAAGAAGAGAGGGCTGAAACATGAGCAAGTGACACAGGAAATGTCCACCAGAGATAGAGGGGTTCAGATCACTAGCAGCCTTGAATGCCAGGCTGAAGAGCTCAGTTTATATTCCATTTGTTAGTGAGACATTATGGGAACATTTTATCTAGGAAAGCCATATACACAAGGAAGTTGACTTGCAAAATCTGCTCTTTCTTTCCTTGAGACTTTATTTCCAGTATTTTCTTTTGCCTTTCTCTTGCTCTGAATGCTATTTTTAACAGACTATATTATATGACTATAATGACCATTGACTGTGTCCCAGATCCCTTCTCTGGCCTTAGAAGTGACACTCCCCTCTCCCCGCATTGTGACTCTTACCTTTTCCTCTGGATCAAGATTGGTGAATCCAACTGGGCTATGTCAGTCCCAACTGGCAGCCTTCTATCTCTTAGGTCTCCTCGATTTTTCACAGTGAATGACCTCACTATCCCTAGAAACCTCCCTTCTTCCAACCTCAGTCCTGTCTATCTCCTAAGTGCAATAGAACCTTGCTCTGGTTCAGTTCAGTCTTTCTGGCCTGAAATTTGGTACTAGGGCTTCAGTTAGTCTCTTGTGAATCCATGGGTTCAGGTCAAACCCTACTCAAAACTTATTTTCTTCTTATTCTTGGCCATATGCAGCATTGCTCAGGGCTAACTCCTGACTCTGAGCTCAGAGATTACTCTTGACATGGGACTCAAAGGACCAAATAGGGTGCCAGGGACTGAACCTGGGCCAGCTGTGTGCTAGAAAAGCACTATACTATCCCTATGTCCACTAATACTATCACTCTGACCCTATAAACTTGCTTCAATTCCTCTGTTGGTCTCATGTTCTTTCATTCATCTTAGAATTGAGTCTTTAGGCCTTCCTGGTATTATTTAAACATTCTCAGAATTCTCAAGCATCACTTCCTTGGAAATGATGACTCCTTAGTCTATTAATCTCTTCCTATGCCCCTTCACTTGGTATAATCCCAAACACACTTTCAGACTCCTTTCCATAGGGGCTGGAGTGATAACACAGCAAGTAGGGTGTTTGCCTTGCACACCGCCAACCTGGGTTCGATTCCAAGCATCCCATATGGTCCCCCAAACATACCAGGAGTAATTTCTGAGTGCATGAACCAGGAGTAAACCCTGTGCATCGCCGGGTGTGATCCAAAAAGGGGGGGTGGGAAATAAGGTTCCCAGACTCCTTTCCATAGTCAACAACCCCTTTCTACAGTCTGACCCACTTCTTACCTCCTATGTACCCCAGGGCACTAAGGAGATAATTCTAGTTTCACAGGTTATACTAAGGTGGCCATGTATAATTTACTTGCCAAACCCAGGACACTTTTGGGAATAAATGGGAACACTATTATTAATTACTTTGGTTCAACAAATGTCAACTGGTCTCTTCCAGGCAAACTAGAAAGTATGCCTACACCCACTACACTCAACATTGTGAAACCTGGCACTGGGTGCTTTCATTTATTTTGTTCATTTCTCTCAATAGCCCTTTAAGATGCTATTATTACCCCTCCCCCTTTTTAAAAAAATGAGCAAGTCTCAGAGAGTCAGACACAATCACACAGCTGGAAAGCAAGTAAGCTTGGCCTGGGAAGCCAGATCATTAGATTTCAAGTCTTACATTCTTCTCACTCCAAGACTGGTCTAAACTCCATTAGTTGACCCCGCCAACATCAGTCTATTGTTGAAGTTAGAGTGTTAGCCTGGGAGTCCCCAGGCAAAGAGAGAAAGAAATTGTTGTAGGCAGAGAGATAGGGG